CTACGCCACAAAACTTTTGTCGTTGCCGTTGATATACCCATTTGAAACTATTTCTACCCAGTTGAATTCCAGACCTCTAACTACCCGATTCGTCTGTTCTATGCCTCACCAATTCCCATGGGAAATCCAAACTACCCGTGAGAAATTCTATAACTTATGCGCTCACAAAATAACAAAATACTTGCCCGCACGGGCAAGTAAAATTCACGAACCATTCGTAAAAATCGCATCTGTTCCGCGATCACCGATAAACGACTGATGGCACGTCCCTGGACAAATTCCCCGGATTCACGTATTTTCTCAGCTAACGCAACGATATCATTGGGATTGTAGATGCGTTGTGAGGTTACTGATGCTGACACTAGCTGCTGTTGCTGTTGGGGGGTGACCTGAATTGCTGTGGTACTTCCACCCGAACCTGAAATCAAATCCGACCCCCCTCCCGCTCTCGATCCCGCCGGTGCACCCGTATGCTCGACCAATTGCACAGAGACTGAAATAGAATCCAAAAAAAATCAAAAAACAAAAAAAAATTCTCGTCAGAAATATTTAAGACGGGAAAAAATTCCCAGTTACGCGGGGGGAGGGCATTTCAGGTCGAATCTAGAATTTCAGGTTAGGCACACCCCCATCTTCTATCGTAAACGACATTATTAGTGTGATTTTCAATAATATTTTGATCTACTCAATGATTTGTCGTTTGATCTGATCAGTTTCTGATCAGTTGATCTGATCGATCACACATTGATCTTAGGCGCCAAACGCAGCACTCACTATGAGCTGCTGCGAGCGTTTTTCTCTTTCTTTTTCTTAACTTAATTTCATTCCAGCTCTGAAATGTGACACTGGACGGTTGCGTGAGTGCTGAGGGTATGATCAGGGGTGCGTGATCAGGACGCTTCATCTGATCAAGGCCCTGATCATTCGATTTATCTAATCGATAGGACGACGCTTGATCTGCTTCTGAATGATCAGGCTACTGATATTTCGATTTATTTCCTTAATAAGACGACATTTTATCTGTTTCTGAGTGATCAGGACATTTGATCTGATATTTCGATTGATCTCATCGATAAATCAAAACATCAGATCAGATGTCTTGATCATTCACTCCATTTATACTTGATCTGTTCCTAAGTGATCACAGCTCTAGTGCTTTCGTCTATCCCCTTAAAATCCGATATTTTATCCGTTTCTAATTGCTCAAATCTGCGATATTTTGATTGATCTGCTTGAAATCCGACATTATTATCACTTATTGATTGATATTTATTGATTTATTGATATCAAACACTGTTTTGAATCGCTCAATTTCAGATATTTCGATTCACTTTCGAATATAACATTTAAATATCAGCCAATAAATGATCATAATAAATCAATAAATATTGCCTAGTGATCATAGCTATCTGATTTGCTCTGATCTGATCTGTCCTAGTGATCAGTAAGGCGACCAAATAACTGATTTAATTCACAAATTCATGATCATAATTATAATTACAATGATCAGTAATGATTTAGTAATAGTAATAAAAGTAAAATAAATGGATGACTGACCTGTCTCCCTCATTTCGGGTGTTTTGACGATGAATTGAT